GGAAAACGCTCTGGTAGACGCAATGGATTCGACACTCATCGCATGTTGTAGCGCCGCAGGCAACGCACGAACGCGACTCTACGTCCTGCTCCGTGTTTCTCGTGCCACAGGCTGCAAGCTCGGTACAGTTGAATTCATAGAAGTACTTGGATTTTCGGTGACACCGTTTTCTTATGGAGATACCGCTACCGTCGCACTGCATCTTCTTGAGTAGGTTTGTTCGGCTCTCCGGGCGTTGAAACAAAGTGTCGTAAGCGGCTCTCGACGTTCCCGCTAGCGCGTACAAGTCGTTGGGGAACAGGCGTGACATTATAGATTCAAGGATGGCATACTGGGCAAGTATTCCTAGCAGATGACAAGGGGACGTTGTGGCCGTACTTGGAGTCGCAGGAGCCGCTTTCTGCGTAAGAAGTTCTGCGTTGACGGAGTTGGATCTCTTTCTCTTCATTGCGCAGAAGAGACCGCCTGATTCGTTGCAAGGATTGTTTGATGCCCAGGGCACTGGCTTTGCCTTGCGATTGAAAATCACTAAAAGAGAGCAAGTGAACTTAGCGCAGAGTCTCTGTCGGCATAAGAGGCGGTATCTCACATTACGAAGATGAGACGCCAAAAAGAGAGTCCGTCGTAGGTCGAGACTCTTGAGTGCGGTTCTTGCTCAGGTTTGCTTCCAGAAGACGCGGTGATTGAGGATACAGATGAAGGCAAAGGTGGCAGTCACGAGCACAGGGTATGAAGACATAAGGGCATGTGTATCTCAAAGCGGTGAGAGTGATCAGACCAGATGACGATGATTGGCAGGGCAACCACCGTGATAGAGCACAGGTGGAAGGCAGAACACGGAGGAATGTATATGAAGAGAGATTTATCACGTACGTTTTATGTGGAATTGGTTTAAGTCGGTACTTGAGCACACCTTTCCTATTGCGCTTCGCTCGCGACGTCTTCTATGACATTCAAATCGGGATCCATGGCCGGTCAGGAGGGTGAGAGAATTTTTTTCGGGTCAATCCGGAAGAGCGCAACTCGTGACCTTGGAGCGAGCGGAAAGACGGGCAGTGCCTCGAACTATATAGCGAGAGTGGCCGACATGATGTCGTATATGAAAGCTCCCCAGAGTGAGGGATCGGTGTTGTTCACACAGATGCGATGGTGTTATGCGTCACTCAAGCATTTCATCGGAGCGGAGATGTTTTCCGCAGATTAATAAGCCGTTACATAAGCATCCTCGTTCCAGCAGGTGCCGCGGCTGTCCAGCTGTTGAACGACTATCAATACCTAATCGAACCTCGCGACCGACTCTTCATTTGTGTATGCATCTTCACATTGAAGTTTGCATCTATCGTTATGTTTTCGTTGCTCCGAGGCATGTCGACAATCGTGCAGACGTGTCAATCACATGAGGAGCATATGCTTGACTGCAACTTCTTTGGCATTGTGCTGTTTCGCACATCTAAACGAACCGTGATCTCGCTTCTGCGCATATATCTTTCAGGATACATTGCCCTCGTCCGCCCAGGCCTCCCTTACATTTTCTCTGGAATATCATAGCAACAGCCGATGTCCAACACATTGTAGAATGTGCAATCGCGTTGAACGTATACACCGCCCTTCTTCGCGCAAGTTGGCTTCGTTGTGCAGATGCCGGATGGGTCACTGCGTCCACATGGGGCGGGATAGGGATCGGTTGTAGGAATGGCGCTCGCCATAGCGATTGAAAGGAGTGTGGTGACGATGGCGAGCTTCATGTTGGGATTCGAGTTGCCTGACAAATGATGAGCGCGATAGGAAAAGGAGCATAGTTGGTCCTTACACGTCCTTGCTTGGTATGTGTTGAAACGGACTTTTGTCGAACTGGGGGACTTATTGCGATATAGGGAGTGACGAACCCTCCTTTATACACATCAAGCTCTGCAGGAGCTATACCGATGACATCAAAGCCCGTACAGTAGGCTCTGTCTAGTGGAATACGAGATAAAGGCATATGGACGTTGTAGTACGAGGTCGATTAGGCCCTCGTTCCGGCCAACCACACTATCATTCTTTGGAAATCACGACGAATCCTAGGCAAAGACACTATCGCACGAGCTATCAAGCTTTTAAGATCTGCCGCTACCAATCTCCAGGTTCTTTGTACATTAATACTCATTTCTGCTATATTGTATGACTTCATCAAGCGAATGCCTTAATATAGGGTACCCGGAACACGAACATTGATATCGGCAAAGACAAAAATAGCTATCTATCTGCGCAGCTTTCCATATCGACATTATTTTTAGAGCAGATGTGTCCCTTGTTTTCGACAGTACTAACGGTCGTCTCCAGACTTCACCCCGGGTTGGAAGATTTCCCACAACATGCCTACTATGTGCAGAGCGAAATCAGCGGCCCCTCGATTGGGAAAAGTTTACTAAGGTCAAAGGGTGAGACGCTACTGCAACTCATCCTTGTGCGCAAATGCAAGATGAGAAGATACGCCGAGTGGAGGGTTGCATACTATGTGTCTCATGGAAAGCTACACAAAGACTACGAAGCCTCTCAGAATCATCGCACATGCTCCATAGGGTCAAGAAAACACGGAGACCTAACATAAACTAGACTCAGTGGCTCTCCCATGTTGGCTCAAGCTCTCTTTACATGTAATCTTTCAGCGAGCTATCCGTTGCTTTCACCGCAAGCGTAAATGCTCTCGCTACTACCTTAGCTCCCTCCGGACTGGTGTGCGTATGATCATGCGGATAGTACGAGCTCACGGTCGTCGCGCCCGCGTTCTTGTACAATTGGGCCGTATACAATCTTCTCCCGGGTTAGCAAACTTCCCACCACAGAACTTGGATAAAGATATACCCATGGTCCGCGAATGTTGCTCCCACAGCCTTCGCAGCATCACTGGCATACGTCACGAACCGACTACTGCTGTATGTAAAGGTTCCGGTTTCCCAGACATTGTTTGGCGTCGCGGAACTGATAATTACGTTGGCGCCTTTGGCTTGAAAGAGCTTTGCTGCGTTTACGAGGTAGGTATAGTATGTTTGAACGGTTTCAACCACGCCACTGAGATATGTCAGCTTCCAAATGAATAGTGTAGAGCAATCGGTGCGCCAATGAGATGGATCTTCCTTGGATCTGGCCGAACTAACTTGTAAGTTGTCGAACACGTCGTGGCGTAATTATTGTTCACAGGTGAGCAGTCGGTTCTCCCATTATCCGAAGTCGAACTGAGCGTGCCACCATCGTTGTGCCCAAATTCGATGACAACGAAATCGCCAGATTTCACATTCGCTAAAGAAGTCTGTCAGTACTTTTGCTCTCCGAAGCCGAGACTTCTGCGATATGCCTACCGGCCATGGTAGTGAAGCGGCCCTCGCGCGTAAAGCTACGTGCTGAGCGACCGGCAACTGCGTCGTTTTCTATAGCCAAGGTGGTGTAGTTGTTGAGGAATAGACCCCATCCTGCAGTGCCGTCGTTGTTGCCCTTTGCGGTCATCGTTGAATCCCCAGCGAGGAATATTGTGGGCGCCGCGAGGACCCCAGCTGCCACAAGAGCATTCGAAACTAGTAACGAGATCATTGCTCTGATCTACCAGTATCGCGACTCCTCACACAAAAAGCTATGGGGGAGAGTTATACTGGTGCGAAGCACTTGCGGATGTCTCCATTATCACAGTCGCCCAAATACGGTCCGAATAATGCTTGACAACATTGCGACTCAGTGTAATTTTCCGTGGTCCCTCTCTGGATAATATGGAGCTATATGCTCCAGTATATGTTATTGGTTAGTTAATCACTACCCAGGGAACATATCCCTGTTAGCGCGAAACAACAGCGGGATGATTCAACACGCGACTGATGGGGGAGTGCGCCCTGGAGAAATACCAGGTCACCGTCCGAGTTATGACGAGCTTCCAGGCAGATCTCCGCCAGATTATTGTAGGACCTTCGTTCTGTGCTGATTGCAGAGGTCTTCTCAGTTGATTTAAAGTAGGCTTCCGAGTTGCACTTCTCCGCTGAGCGGAAGCAGGGATTAATGCACACAACATTTGTATGAGCATGTATGTGCACGAAGAGGGTCATGATCAATTATACAGAGCGAAGTTGGACTCACGAAGCTCTCGTGTCAATGGTGTCTATACTCCCCCATTTCGGGTCTACAGGTCGCCCTTCTGCTTCCAGATATAGTTAGACGTAATTCATCACTGGCATATACCGGCATAAAATCAAACGGTATCACAGTCATTCATTCCACGTTTTGTGAAGTGTAGTGACTACATAATTGATACCAAAAAGCACTACTGATATCCTTACCTACACTCAGGTCATCGCCTATCTATCTCACCTTCAAAGAATGTCCTGCACTAAAATATTAACAGACTCGCCTCTTATTGCGGTCGGTAGAACTTCTTGAGACACTTCCTCAAGCGACGATGTAACTTATCAAGCTTCCTAGTCCATTCATTGCGCATCCAGAAGAGGTCCACCTCGACTAATAATTCCAGGTTCTTGAGGCGATGAAATACTCCGAAGTTTTCCGCTGTGTGCTTCACGGAATCCTTTGGAAGATCCCGCTCCCCTAATATGTAGTCGTAAACTCGATCATAGTGTTCCGCGTATAGCGTGAACAGTGGCAAGTGGTTCAATTGAAGTTCTCTCAGATTGGAGAATTGTTGCACGAAAGTTGGAATATTAAGAGCCTATAACATGGCGAATGAGCACTGAGCAAGTAAGAGGGTTCAAGACTACCATGGTAACTTGTTCGTGGAGGCAGCTGGCGTCACACCACGTGTGATTTTCACATCCCCACTGCACAGAAAGAAAGCGAATCGATTTAATCTCATGACGAGCTATATGACCTACGCATGTTTGTGTCATAGCTTTACAGCTTCGCATGCCTTTCGCGCTGGCGTTGCCAAAAGAAAGCCAAAAGCCATACTGGTCTTGCATCTTCCCATCCACCCGAACAGCAAAAAAACATTCCCGAAACCCGCTCTTGCGAACGGACGATATTGATGAGAGTGGGACTCGAACTAGCGACGGTTAGCTGCAAGAGTCTCATGAAGGTGTAATGTAATACATACCCCACGCCACTTTCGTGACCAGGAATTAGTGTTAAGGTAACCTTAACCTGGCGCCATAACCAACTCGGCCATCTCACCGTTGATGAATTGTGAGGATCTCAACGTTCTGGTGATTTATATAAAAAACTATAGCTACGCAACATGAGCGGTGGAGGGGTACGAAGGCGAAATTCGTTGTGCGATGGGTGGGGGCGGGGAAGAGCAACCGAGCGTCCACTTTGGTTGACATTCGTTGATCGATGATTGGCACGGCAAGCGGATGTGCGGGTACCGAGGCTGCGAGGTTGGAAATTGTGTCAGATAATCCAACGACTTCGAATGACCCCAAGACGATGGAATCTAAGATTCTAGGCACTTTCCTCAGTGAGACACTGCTCACTAAATGCCTTGTCTCTCTTGACACAGCGACAGCCCAGTCAAAGGTGTGGCGCAAGTGTAGTCGGAGATCCTGCTCCATCGTGCTCACTCATGCCTCTTCGCATGGAGCACTAGAGTTGGTTTGTATGATTTTATGATTGTTCACTACTGCTCGCTCGGCAGACCTAGATGCGTCTCTTCATATCTCCTCTTCCGACCTTGCTTGAGCACTCTACAAACGTATCTTCTTGTATTTCAGTATAGTCTATATTGAACTGGTAAATGTATATACATGCAATCCGAGTGATAACCAGCGAGGTATTGTACAAGAACTGGAATGAAATGTAGGAAAAGATTCGTCGCTGGGTCATGATGATTTTTGTTCAAGAGCATCCAAGTCCTTTTCTTTTCGTCCTTCATCCTCCGGTCCCCTCCCCTGCTGTCACCATGAAAACGACGACTGTAAAGGTTTCGGCTCAAATCTTTGCTCTTTTCGAATCGCAGCAAATACGGAGAGTAGTTGTGCGGCCTCTACACCGCCCGGCTCTTGCCAAAAGATGGCAGATGTAGCTTGCTGCATGGCGAGCTCATAGCACCTGTCAAGCAAAGAATTGGTAGGTTCGCTGCTATCTTTGATGCGAACCTTCATGCCAATGGCCATAGCAAGGAAGACGTGAAAACGAGCCATTGGGACAGAGATCGATGTGTCGGCAGACGTAGCCCGACCCGTGGGATCTGGATAGACAGACTCGCAAATCCGACTAAAGTGCGCAGGACCAATGGAATAGGGCTTCGGCCCTTCAAAGGCTTGTATGTGCTCGACGAATTCGGAGGTCAAAGTCTCGGCCTCGAACCGACTAGGGAACGGGATCGCGGTGATAGCTCGACTCCGGTCACTGAATGTTGGGCGGGCTGATCCAGGCGGTGGACTCTCCGTATGAGCACCAAAAATACCATGGCGGGGTAGCCGCGGAGCTGGTGCCAATGGCATGATGTCGGCACTACTTTCGCGCTCTTCGAAAGAGCTGATTGCTGCATCGTCTTCATCTACGGACCCAGAGGATATCGAAGTCTTTCTTGAAAAGTCACCGCCTAGCGAACCCTGGGGGTCTAGACGACCAGCCGTACCTTGAGCCATGAATTCCCATGATGGAGCAGCATGTGGCGCTTTCGATTGCGGGAAGGCACTCGGCGGGAAATGCGGCGCAGACGTCGGGGGTGGTAGTTCAGGGGACGAGGCCCTCGTTGTGCCTGACCACTGGGAAGGAACTGGTGAAGTAGAAGGGGGTGATATAGGGGCTGGCTCACATTCTGATATGGCGATCGATGGCATGCTCCCTGCGGAAAAGGAGCCCAGCATATCACTGCTTGGGCTAAAAGGTTGAGAGAAGCTTGTATCCACGCTAAGTGGCGGTGGTGGACTCTGCCAGCCAAACGAGGATGGTCCCGCCGATGCCAGAGACTGTTCGATCGACTCCATGCCGTGCATAGGCGCATTCACGTGTGCAGCTAGTTGGGACTCCAACTGATGTATTCGACTTTCTAGCGCTGCTTGATGCTCTCTGCAGGCGTGGATGGTCAGTGAGCGTCCACATCACGTGATGTGATAGACCATCCTAGTCTGCTTCTTGGGCTACTGACGTTGCTATTGCTTCTCGCGGTTTCTGCGTCCGAACACATTGCAATGAGAATCTCTTGCACGTCGCGCACGGCGTGTCCCCGTCACACCGGATCTTTCGTCTTCGACATCGTTCGCAGGCATTGGAGACGGACTTGCGCCGCGACTGCCAATCTTTAACCGAGGACGGCGAGAAACGATGTGGCCCTTCGCCGGATGGTAGTGGACCTTCTTTTATCAGCTGCTGATCAGGCTATAAAACAGGTTGGACGTACTGTAAGGACACATGCTGTCGTCAACCGTCGGGGATCCCGCCTCGGAAACTGGGTGATCCGAAAATGAGAAGCTGGGCAGGCGAGGACTTTGAGCGTGAGCGGAGCGGCTGCTGAGGGCCATGTTTGTTTTACGCTCCGCGGAAGCGTAGCTCATCTTGAGGGTGCCATGACTATAGAGAGAGGATGACTAAGGAGATGCCTTCTTTCGCTACGAGTCGCGACACACTCCTCAAACGCTTTCCTCCTCACCAGCCCTCTCCGACACTCCATGCACGAATCTCTTGCGCTTGCGACCTGATTGCCTCACTGTTTCAATTCGCAATCATGCAGATCGCGTCGACCTTCTCTTCGCGAAGCGATTCTTCTAGAAAGGCTGCCTTGCGACGCGGTCCCACAGCGGAGTCGTTGTCCGCTCGCCGCGCTTGCATCGCGTCGACTTTCTAGAATCGCGGCTTTGGGCAAGATATTGCGATAGCGCGGAGTTGAGCGGAGGATCTGCCCTTATATGCGCATTGCACGTCTCGAATTTCGCTATCCTGTTGGACTGCGAGACTCATCGTGGCCTTCTTTTTGAGCTGGAAGCGCCTCGCATACGGCGTCGTGTTCCACCACATGTCGCATCGACCAGACCAACATCAAGCCTTCGTGGCTAGCTGCTGGTGACATACCATGCTCGTTTGAAGTACCAGTTGCTTTTAGGTATTGTTGTTGCACGCGTTTCGAACTTCAGCCAGATGCTCGAGGCGCCTTTATCAGGCGGCTTCCATCTCGACTCGGCGTCTGATTCATCATGTGGAGGCCTGAACTGCTTGGCATGCTAAGCAATTCCGTCTTGGCAAATTAACAGGATCGGGCGATGTTGCAGAGATCAGAGGACAAGATCGGGAAGAGCTAGCAAAAGGTCGCGATACCACCCAATGCAAGTTGTCCGCACGATGATCGAGAATCAAAGCATGGACAAAGGTCCTCAGTACCCTAAGCCTACGCATGCGCATACCAGGAGTCTTCCCGATGCCACCCTGGCGACATCGCTATTCGATTAACCTTGAGCAGTTGCTATGATAGTTTGGTCTCCCAACTAGCGACATGGTTGAACAACATCACACTTCACTGGGAGTTACATGAAAAAAAAAAGAATTTTCACGTTTACATTTTACGTTGTGGTGATCAACAGCAGCTCCAAAATTTACTGTGTACATCGAGTTCGCAGGGCAAAGCGCCGCTCGACAGGAAGGGTTGTATCCGAATATTGCCATTTCATGTACAGATTCCATAGTCGTATGGCCGTCAGGGCAGAGACACAGCCGGAGAGAACTGCTGTGCCTATCGTTGCCCCGAGCTTTGCGGGAGCATGCGGTACGAGTTGTTCAGATAAGAACAGAACCGAAAGGTCTGGTACGACACTGCCTTGCAACAGCGGTCGCTGCACGATAATGATCAGCGAGTGAAAGGCGACAGTGAAAGACTGCAGTGAAAGACGTACGATCACAGGTATATTGCACAATGAGCGGTGAAGGCGTTCTCTGTTTACGTTGTTACCCTCTTTCACTTGTTCTCTGTATTTGGTTCTCGCAAAATCTGCCCACACCTGTTCCGCACCCTCCGTTCATTCCTACTACACCACAATCATATCCTCTCACTCACACCACCCTCTCGATACACGAGCCTAAGATGAAGCTCTGTTCGGTTCTACTGCTGGCCGGGATCGCTACCTCAGTCAATGCCTTCTGCAACTCCACCCTTCCCAGCGCAGTCAATGCGTCAGCCTGCGACTCTGGCACCTGCGGCGCAGCCGACGTCTTCGGAGGTAAAGATGTACCCATCGTTTGGCCTCGTGTCAGCAACAACAAGGTAGCTATCCGCTACTGTTTCTACGACACAGACACCGACAAACGTTTGCGGAGTTTGGTGCGGGGTGCCATGGATGTATGGATGGGCGCTCTCGGCGAACGCAAGAAGGACAATGGACATGCCATCGAGTTCTATGAGCACACGGATAAAGACAACAAGCCTTATCATTGCGTAGATGAGAGCAACCCGAGTCGCCCGTGGAATACGAACTTGCAGACAGATACAGTGGCGATTCTTTGGCGTGGAGCTGATGGGATAAATCCGCAACCCGTGCCGGCTTCATCCGCTACCCTCGGGTGTTTGAAGAAACCAAACCCCTTTGTTCTCAATCTCGTTGTCGGCACTTCACACACACTATGGGAAATCACTCATGAAGTAAGTGTCATTGAGGCTTTGTATCCGGCGCAAGCCACTAACACGCGAACTTACAGCTTGGACACGTCCTGGGAATGGTCCATGAACACCAACGTGCTGATCGTGAGTCCTTCCATTGGTGACTCATCTTTCACGAGCTGACGTCCCTCAAGGGGACTTATTCATCAAGTATAATTGCGACAAAGTTTTCGGCTTTGATGCTGCATGGCAAAAGGCATCTGCGGGTATGTATATCGCTCTCCCTCTTCACAAACTTGCTGCTGACTCAGAGCACAAGATGGCATCTCCAAAGACCGCTTGTGTAATGATGCACAGGTAGCGACTTACTACGGCTTCTGGGCCGGCGTACAGTTCATCAGAGGATTTATCGGTGTGCTGAAATGGGAGGTCGTTGGAAGCGGTGCCTATGACATCGAGTCAATCATGCATTACGCGTCCGATGCTGGCGTTGCAGATCAGACCAGGTGTAACGCCAATCATCCTGACGAGCCGGCAATGTGTGTAATGGCCTTTTGGAAGAACCCGAGCAAACACGATGCCGGATGGGAAACACGGTTCCGCCAGAATCCCATCTCGCAGAGAGACGTTGCGTGGGTGAAGAA